GGCCAGGAGCCCCTAGTAGCTTCTTGTTCCTAGTAGTAAGGCCAGGAACCCCTAATAGCTTCTTGTTCCTAGTAAGAATGCCAAGGAGCAGAGGTGGTTTCAATTGTTTGGTCTTGCGCCAAGTCGCTCGGTGTATGATCGCAACAGCAGGTCACCGAAACAGCTGCTCAAGTTCCTGGATTAGCAGACGCCGCAGGTGCTGTCCAAGGTGTTTGGAACACAGTGAGCCCGGAACCCATTTGGACTAAGCTGGTGAAAAGCATGTGATACCACCTCGCTTGAACCTTTGAGCCTTCTTCCTCTTTCACGTGCGACTCAGGCGGCGTGGTCGGTTCAATTTTTGGGGCAACTGGAGGCGCACACTGTTAGGGTCCTTAGGGTCCAGCTCCCAGCTGTAGCGCACTAATTGCCACAGGTTGCTCAGGCTATGTGGGCATGTGTTGGGGCCAATGCTCCAATCAGCAGCAGCTGGGCTACACTGCTTCATGTCAGTGGGGCTCTTGCCAATGTAAGCCCGGTTTTTGCGCCAACAACGGCGCCTTGCTGGCAGTATTGTTGATGCTGGGGCAATTCTGCAGGTTCCGTGTGCAAGTTTGGACATCCTGAGGTGTATGTGAGATGGACCTTTCTGGTATGCTCAAGGGAGCGGCAAGCAATTTCATGCGCTGAAGAGCACATCTATGTCTCAATGCTGAATGAAAAGTTGCGAGCCTATGCCAAACCCGACCGTGTTCAGCTTCACAGTCGTTATACAATAAGATACAATAAGTACTAATTATATAAGTAATTGCTCAGAGGACCATCTTTCAACCTGTACATTCCTCTCAACTAGATCTTTCAACCTCTCAGCACTTGAGTGGACACTTGCACAAACATCATTGTGCAACGTGTGGCTTTCATTGGACCTTCCTTGCTGCAGCTTTGCAATCTACATGTCGACATTTGCGATTAATTGGAATTGCTTTATCAACCTGCGACTATGGTCCCGCCGTCATTGGGTATGAGGGAGACTTGTGGGTCCACAGATGAAAACACATTTTGAGCTGACAAGGGCAAGCACGGCCATCAATCGCACATGCTCTCAACTGTTTACATCATGAGTGGCATGGACAGCCACCAAGCCACCCTGTCATGCCATGTTGCGGCGGGCTGAGTGCTAGTTCCGAGCGATGGCTTTGGAAACTGCACAGGAGAGGTTCCGAGCGGATCGAAGATCGAAGATGTGAAGGTTCTTGTTGCAGGAGCGAGGACGCTACTAGGGGCTCCTCCTGACATCGCTACTAGTAACAAGAAGCTACTAGGGGCTCTTGGCCTTACTACTAGGAGCGGACGCTACTAGGAACAAAGGGCATCGCTATTCTGACTAGCTCGATCAGTTTTGCTTCTTTCGGGACCGCACTCATCCAGACTGGCTGCTTTTGGGTTCATTGCTAGTCCGAAAGGGATGCGCCGCCCCAAGATGTCCCAAGTATCTAATCTTACTACTTGATGAGGGAAAGCTGGTTTTGGTATGTTTTTGGTCGGGCATCAATTCAGACAAGCTTTACGCAGGACTTACCGTTGCCCCCTGGGGATCCACCAGCATCGCTGGGAGAAACTGCAATGAGCTCAGTCCAGGAGCCCCTAGTAGCGTCCTTGTTCCTAGTCGCGATGCCAGAAGCCCCTAGTAGCAATGCCCCTGCTCTTAGTAGCGTCCTCTACCTAGAAAATATGAAAGCTTCATGAACCATGATAGAGAGACAGCAATGGCCTCCAACCTAATAGCTGCACGAGCCATGATAGAGAGCACCAGAAAGGTTTGATTCGGACAGTGTCATCATGTTTGTGCCGTTGAGGCTGGACTTTCCAGACTCCGTGGTACACTTTTTGGATATGACTCCTCGACCACCCGAGCACCTTTCGCATATGGTTTGGACCTGAGAGGATCCAAAGAGATGTGAAAGGAACCAGTCCTGCAGCAGTCCTGCACGCTTTCTAAAGAACTGGTGCCAAGGCTTGATACGCCCTGAGCCAAGTGTTCAAGTGACTTCGACAGCATGTGGCTTCGCAGCTTGTGAGCTCAACCGAGGTGCTGACGATGGTGAACTGCATTTCTTTGCCCGTGCGCTTGAAGCTTACTGTCAAAAGAAAGGTTTGAATACAGTACTTGTTTGTTGCAAGAATCTGTGTTTGTATTGTCGCCATACTCCTCCAAGTAAATCAGCTGGCGTACCGTCAGATGTCACATGTCCAGTTCCCAAAGGCATTTAGAGCGGGGTGTCATTGCGGAGCTCTTGCAACCTGGAGCCCCATTGGAGTTCTTTTCTCAGAAGGTCAGTGGGTGTGTTGTAAAGGGTTGCACGTCGCTGCGTGCTAAACAGTTTGGCCGGAGGAGTTCCGAATTGCGAATGCAGAAAGCTCTTTTAGTTCCGAACGAGTCTTCCCTTGCCAGTCTGAGCCTGACATCCACTGGGCATTCGGCGTGCGGAAGCCCAACGTTGTGACTTGGCCTTCTGAGTGGAAGATCTTAGATTCAAATTGTTGGTAAGCGGGCGCAACTCACCAGGTTCGGGCTCTCAAGGTCCCGATGCAAAAGTCGTCCACGAAGTACCGCGGTCACGCGGCAGCTTTTCCAGTGGCCATTGGCGTCAGAAGGCTAGCGCCCCACCACTTTGGTTTGAGGCGGCAGGGTGACAAATGGTCATGTCAAGTACCCTCACGATGTGCGGCGCACATTTCACACAGGTGAAAAAGAGGGTCAGTGCAAAGAAAAGTTCAAATTAAAACTTCCTTGCTACCATGGGGTGTTCGAAGCAGCCGAAGTGCCTGTGAGGTCACCATGCGTGTTCTGTGTCCAGTGTGTAGCACCAAGTGTGGCCTTTGGGGTGCACTCATCAAAGAACATGTGGGAACACGCTTTGCATGGTTGCCTCTCGTAGACCACGTTCGCTGTGCGCCCAGCGACGCATCCTCGGCTTGCATGCCAGCATCCACCCATGGCTGCCAAATAGATTGGCTTCAAGGAAGCACTCTGCTTTGCAACCTTCATCTTCTGTTGGAGGGTGTTCTCGCACTCTTCTAGGATCTTCTGGTTCATCCGCTGCAAGACTTGTACTTGATGGCGGTTCTCCTGGTAGTTCCCCTCTGCAAGGGCCCATTCATTACGAAAATGAGCCACTTCTTCCAGCAACTTCATCTTGTCCTTTCGAAGCTCCACAAGTCGCTGTTCCTCCAGACCTGTTCGATCGGTCTGCACAGAGCACTCTCTGGTACTTTTGGGTGGAGAACTCTTTATTGTCCAGCTGATGGATGTAGTGCCAAAGCATCTCATTCCCAGCCAAACCATGATGCCCAGGAGCATCGTGAAGAAGATCAAAAACATGAAATCAAACATGTCATAACCCTCAGGGATGTGGTGCTCCCTCATAGTTCCATTGTCACCCTTCTCTGTCTCATGGGCGTTGACCACGTCCAGGAAGTAGTTGGCAAACATGGCATATAGTGCCCGTTCCGGTCTTTTGATGGCGTACATATTTTCGCCCTTCTTGCGGCTTGAGATGTTCTTCTTCTTGGAGGCTTGAAAGGTCTCATCGCTCTTGAGCTTTGTCATGTGGGACCTTAATCTCTGTCCCAACAAAGGTGCAGCAGCATCTTTTGTAAGGCCATCTGCATATTGGAGTTCTGATGACACCCACATAACCTTGCCATTGCAGCAAGCCAGCTTGTCTCTGCAAACCAGGGCCTCGATCGTCGTGCGCTTGTCTGCTCCAGTTGCTGCCTGAATCTCCTCCTTGACCAGAATGTCATAGAGGGCCTTGGCGTCCACAATCAACTTGGGGCTGTTTGCCAAGCGTCCAGTCTCAACACTGTCTAAGGGCAGCAATGCTCTGAAGATCATGTTCCAGAACAGGGAGGTGTACATCAGGCTATCTGCTGCTTCACTTGCGGCTTGAGACTCTGCGGACAGGGTGCTGCGAGCCACTCTTGGCAATTTCCAGCTGCGCCAGTCGAGGACGTTGTAGTGCCCTTCACACTTTCCATCTGCAACATCTTTGTGGCACATAGCCAACAGGTACCCCCCTTGACTGCTCAAATCTTGTCTTGTTGCAAACGATGCGTCGCTGTAGACGACGAAAGTCATCTCATCCTTTTCTCCCAAGCGACGGTACTGCAGTCCAACGTCCGCGTACTCCTTGGCATACCGAAGGTGTTTGTTTCCCTTCTGGAGGGTTGCCACTGTTGCTCTGGATGTCTCTCCGGCCAACTGAGAAATTCCCACCTGGAGATGTGGCGAGCTCTGAGTCGCTGGCCATTGCAGTCCACCAATGAGACCACGGAGTAGGGATCTCTCCTTCTCAGTCACTGGGGTGTCAGGCATCTGGAGACGTTCCTTCGTGACAGGGATCGGCTTGACCTTGTGGATATACTCTTCTTGACCCAGGGTGATGACTTCTGCACGTTGGCAATCAATTTGGCTGCCACAGTATTCAAGTTTGTCACCATCTTGCCATTCCCGGAAGGTGAAGACTTCTTGTAGCTTCTTCTTGGTTTCGGTGAAGATCGGATCATCTGGGTTCCCACATCCCACCAAATCATCAACATGGATCCCAAAGATGCCGGCCAGATCACGTTCCACATTGGGGTCCAGTGGTGTTCCTTCTGGCCAAGGCTTGTAGACCATGAAGAGACATGGGTCAAGGGGATGGCGAAGGATGTTGCCATCACCAACTTTGAGGATGCGCTCTGAGGCCTCTTCGTACCATGCTCGTGGTGCATCGCAGAGACCATACATCGGCTTCACCAACTTCATCAATTGGGGAGCATCTGCATCAAGGCCCAGCAGCATCTTGGCATCTTTTGGGAGTTTGATCCAAATCACCCGGTCAGATCCTTCTGCGAAGTTCTTGCCCTGAAGGAATGCAGTTGTGATGTCTGAAGTGAACATCTTCCAGGAGTAGAGCTGGCATATGCTCAGGATCATGCCCCTTGCCAGTCTGGTCAATGTTGGTGCATTTGTCGTCAGTGCTCCAGACAGGGCATCAGGGTCTTTGAACCCTTGAGTGATGAGTCGAGCTTTTGCCCTTGGTGTCCCATCTTCATTCTTCTTCCAGGTCAGGATGAAGTGGGCCTTCAACACTCGGGAGGGATCTGCGTTGTTCTCATGGTCATAGAGCCAGACCTCATTCTTGAAGAAGCTGTCCAGTTCTTTGATCTTGGCTTTCATGAAGGCTTGTCGATCGGAGACGGACATGTAGCGCTCATAGACTTCATCTCGGCCCTTCTTCTTCTTGGCCAGAGGTTGATCTCCTGAAGTTCTCATGGACTTGTAGCCTCCACTGGCTTTCTTGTAGTCTTCTTGAGCTTTTGTCCTCCAGTTGGGCTTCAATTTGAACTTTGTCTGTCCAGTCCAGTAGGCCTCCTCAATGAGATGGTTCACACTGTGCCGCTTCCATCTATCCTTGAAGGTGCCATGCGAAGTCGCTGTCACTCTGTCCTTGGCGAGGTAGTTGAGGTCAACCGGGCATGTGTCCTCTGTCGGCTTGAAGGCTCCCTTCCTGGGCACATAGTGGTTTCTGATGAGCCAATTTCCTTCCAACGTCCACTCATCCGTGGGGGCATCAAGACACAGCCATCCATTTTCAACATGCCAGCCTGGGGGCAAGTCTGTGATCTTCTCGATGTCGATGTCTATCTGCATGTTGAGGTCCTCTTCGGTCGGATGGTCATAAGGTGTAGCTCTTGATGATTCTGATCGGATGCCGTGGGCTTGTAAAGGAAGGAGAGGGTCTCTTGTTTGTCCACTCTTGCCCTCTGAGTCTGAAAGCTCTCCGCAGGTGGTGCCTCATAGAGTCTTCTCTGATGTTCTGGTACTGGTGCAGGATCACTCTCAACAATCGGTGTGCTGTCCTGCGGCGGTTGTTGTGGATTCTGCCCCCCTGCTCCATCTCCCCCGTTGGGCGTCGCACCTCCTTGTCCATCACTTCCACCTTGAGGTTGTCCATCTCCATTAGTCGGTGGAGGTTCACTTGGAGGTTCTTCCGGCTCTGGTGGTGCATCAGTATCGCCAAAGAGCTCAACCAGGACATCTGAATCATCATCCATTTTGTCCTCAATCACGAAGGTTGTCGTTCCTGTCCAGGTATAGTGGAGTGATCTGGAGGCATCAATGACTCGCCAATCATCCCGAAGGCGTACCCGTGGAGGATGTGGTGGTAGTCGCCTCACTGTGGTCAGGCGGTCGCTGCTGAATCGATCAACCGGCACCTCGGAGTCATTCTCTGGAACATAGAGCTCTCTTCTCGGCACATTATGGATCCTTGTCCATGTTTTGCGGTCATCCGAGATCTCCCAGGTGTCTCTGAGGCCAGGGTGCTCATCGTCTCCAGCTGGGAGTTCTTCATCATCGAACTCTTCATCTTCTTCATCACTCGACACCTCATGACGCTGACGCTTGTTGGTTCGTGTCAGGTCGGTGTAAAGCGTTGTGCCTCGGCTTCTCACGCCTTGTAGGGCTTGTTGTGCTCGATAAAAGGGATCATCATCAGCAGTTTTGGGAACATCCTGTTCCGGCACCGGTCGGAGATGTTCTGGTGCTGCCCTCAGTAGATTGGTTCCATGCACCACCCAGTAGATCGTGGTGTGTGGGCCGCTCTCCAACTGCTCAACCATCACGACTCTGGCAGCTCCTCTCCAGCGTAATTTTGGGCCAATGCCTCCAGGTCCATCACGATAGTAGTAGCACAAATCGCCAAGCTGGAACACGGTCAACTGTCCAGTGAATTTCCGGTTAAGAGCTCGTCGGAGGCGGACATCAACATCTGCTGAGAAAACCGCGTTTGCTGCCTTCTTCTGTCGTTGTAGCTTATGGGTCCAGGCTCGGCAGCTCAAGGGGCTCTTCAGTAAGAAGTCCTGGCACATGAGGTGTGTAGCCAAGAACCCACTGCACAGGGCTGTACCCACGAACATTGGTCCCCCGGTTGATCTGTGGGATGACATAGCACAGCGCCTGAATCAACCGCTCTCGTGGTTCATAAGGTTGGAGGACATCTCCCTGTTCCTGATCGGCAATGTACAGCTCGATTGCCAGTCTTGTGTGGCTCTGCCCGGGAGAAATCTGCAGTTGGATTCCATTCTCGGAGCACCAGGATTTGACATAGTCTGAAGACCAGCTCCGGTGATCATCAACCTGCAAGATCTTCATTGGGCCAAAGGTGCGGATCCAGCCGCGTTCAAGTGCAAGCACGAACTCCTCGGGAGATTCACGTTGTAGGACTCTGCCTCCGAGAAACCGAGTTGCAGCATCACTGATCATCATTACTGGTAGAGCTCGTTTTGCGGGAGGCATCTTGATCCACAAGGTATCTGACTGCACCCGAGTGTTGAACTCTTGGGCATTAGGGACCGAGGAGACTGGTACTTGTGGTCGCCGTTGATGTTGAGCGCACACGGCACAATCATGGACCTTTGCCTGGTTTATCAGGCTTTCGTGGGCCCCCTTCATAGTAAGCAGTCGGCATAGCTCTGCATTCGTCGGATGCCCCAGGTTCCGATGAAGTCGACTGATCGTCCTCTTTGCCTGTTGGCTATCGGCTGCAACTTGAAGGCGCTGTAGTACCCCAGTCTGTTGCTGACCTCCTCGAGGACCATCTGTGGATGGAGCATCTCCCCGAGGTGTGGTCTGTGCAGAGTTTTGATTGGGCTCATCGTCTCGGTGGTGGTCAGCAATGGTTGGAGTGTACTCCTCATCATCATACTCGCCAGTTGCCATGCCCAGCTCCTCAGGCTCATAGTAGAGGAGGTCGATCGCCTCTCCAATCCAGTAGCAGAAAGTCTGCTGATAGGCCCCTGCTGCTTTGGTCAGTGAGCCAACTCCTGGTAGGGATCCTTCAAGTTGAGATGTGTGTGGTCTCCAGGGCATCTCCATGCGAGCATGTCAACCATCGAGGGGCTTGTCAACTGCAAGCGAGTTGGCTTCTTGATGTACTCACCTGCAATCTTTGTCTCATAGGCGCACTGGTCGAGTCGGCATGGCCATCCTGGGAGAGTGCTCCAGGTTTGTGTGTCCCATGCCTTGGACCAAGCAGGGTGCTCGATCCCAGCATCTCTTCCTTCATTGTACTGGATGACGAAGGTTCTCTCGGCCAGCTTCAGATGCACTGCTTCTTCATAGTCTCGTTCACACTGCAGAGCGAAGGTCTGTTCCTGTGTGAGCATATTCAGTGCTTGCATCTTTGACCACTTCTTGCATGCCGGGGCAATCCACACAAAGTCCGGGGCAATGTCCTCAAGGAGCTTGAAGTAGGAGTTGCGATGGTCAGGGTAGTCAAAGTCCCAGCCCGTGTTGATGTCGAAGCTGAAGACTGTATAGCCTCTACGCTGCATCTCCATCGAAAGACCAGCTTCTCCAGAGTATACTTCCCAAAAGACTTTCGCCCCTTGTTCATGCGCTCGAAGGCCCTGCTCAAGGACGGTTCGTCTATGAGCGAACATTGTGGCATGGTGCACACGGATGCCCCTGAGCAGCTTGTCCGTGATCTCCTTCCTCACTGCTGCAACTTCCTCTTCATCATGTGGTGCCACAGGGCGATCTTCAACTGCTTCAGCATCAGTGACATTCTCCTCATCAGCCTGAAGACAGTGCTCTGGAGGGTCTCTGCCTGTCGCCTCAAGGTACTGAAGCAAGGTGTAGGTTGATGAATGCATCACTCCTGTCCTCTGAACCATCTCGTAGGTCTCGGTGGTGACGAGGTCAAAGAACACGTTCTCGCCCTTCGGATCGGCATGTACTCCATCATCCAGTCGAAGCAAGTATTCACCTCTTTCTCCACGAACGGCAGACTGCCATTCGGCATCCCCATATTTGATGAGGTCTTTGTCCCAATCCACCTTCACCTTGAGCGACTTCAAGATGGGCCTTCCCACGAGGAGAGGGGCTGCACCTTCCACCAGGAAGCATTCGATGAGGCCGGAGACTCCATTGACGTACACCGGCAGGCGAACAGTCCATTCGGCCTTGCGCATTGCATCGCCTCCAAAGCCAAAGAGCTTGGTGGTCGGGTGGAAGGTGTAGCGCTCCAAGGGTACTCCCTTGTCATACATGTACTCGATGATGTTCATCAGCGTCTGGTGGCCACAGACCATGCTACTCGCTCCTCCATCTTGTAGGCCAAACCAGCCTTGCTCAGACAACATGGGTGTCCCCTTCTGGTTGAGGTCGTGCATCATGAAAGCTTGCCCAGTGCTCTTCGTGGCAGTCTCCGTTTTCGCACGCTTGGGGGACTGTGAACCCTTGTTCTGAAGGGCAATCTGCAGCTGCATGTCCATATCGGCCACACTTGAAGCACTGCATGGAGTCCAATGCTGTTCTTCCACGCTGAAGGGCTGGCCCTTTTTGCGGGGGTGACTTGGCCTTGCTCTTGCCCTTCTTTCCTTTTCCTCCCTTGACGACGGGTCGTTGTGTGGCAGCAGAAGAACTTGATGAGCCTGGAAGATCTGATGTGCCGGTCAGGGCCACGACGGGATAGTAGCCTCGAGCTGCTTTGAGACTGGCAAACTGTCTCCTGGCGTCCAGGTAGGTGGCATATGCCTCTTCCAGCTGTGGGTCGAAGTCATCTGTCCATGGCTCCTCCTGGTAGTAGAGCTCATCATCCGGGCCGCCGTAGGTGGCCTCAGGGTCCTCATACTCTTCAAAGGCCTGCTCATCCTCATAGAGCTCGTCCTCCAAGAGGTATGCATCCTCGTACTCCTCGGTGTCCAGGTCACATTCTTCAGCAGTGTAGCCATGTTGAGGCTTCCTTGGATACCATCTTTGTGGCTTCTGGATGAGGTTCTTGTTCCATCGAGGATGTGTCTCGCCCTTGGTCTTGAAGTCCTGGCTGAAGAGGTAATACATGGCCTCTTCCACTTTGGTCAGCTCCAGCATGGCTCCCACCTGAGATTGCACCAGGTGTTTCTGTTCCTGCGTCAAGTTGCTTCTTCGGAGGAGCATCCACCCGGAGACACTGTCCGGTATCTTGACCCCGTGTTTTTCTATTTCCCTCAGCTGCTCTCTGTGTTCCGTGCAGTAAGAAAGAAGGGTTTGCTCCGACTTCCTGCTCAGCTGATAGAAAAACTTCTCCAATGCCCTTGGCATTTCGACCCGGCTGTCGTATTGAAATGCCACATCGAGTGCTTTGAGCACTCTCTCAAAGCCGTCGGAGGCCTCGGAGACGGCCTCGACCATGTGTTCAACTTGCTTCCAGGCCGTGCCATGCAAGCTCGTGAGCAAGTTCAGTATCGCCTCCTTGTCTTTGCCTTGGATGGCGAGTTTCTTCTTGTACAGCATGATCCGCTGTCTCCACTCTCTGTAGTCCGCCACCTTGTTGTTGAAGACCGGGATGAAGGTGTCTTTCATAGTTTCGATGGTGCCACCAGCCATCGAAGAGGTAGTCGAAGGACCGCCCGTTGTAGGTCCATCACCACCTGGCATCGAAGCGCGTCCAGCGCTCCGCTACCAATGTTGGTAAGCGGGCGCAACTCACCAGGTTCGGGCTCTCAAGGTCCCGATGCAAAAGTCGTCCACGAAGTACCGCGGTCACGCGGCAGCTTTTCCAGCGGCCATTGGCGTCAGAAGGCTAGCGCCCCACCACTGAGGCGGCAGGGTGACAAATGGTCATGTCAAGTACCCTCATGATGTGCGGCGCACATTTCACACAAATGGTTTGTAGAATGAATTTTTGTTTCTGACTGGACTCAACTCCAGCTTTGAAGGGAGTATGAACATCCATCCGCTTAGTGTTGCGGCTGGAGTCAATGGAGTCCTGAGCATTTAGAAGGACCCGCGGACTATTCTTGGCTGCACTTCGGATGTTTCTTGTCATCCTTGAAGTACCTGTTGCATCGGTCAGGGTGGTCATGTCATGTCATCTCACATGTGTGGTCAGATGGGCATTGGCTGGGCTCGGCGACGCTCTGAGGCCGGGACCTGTGTTTGGATTTGTTTGGATCATTGAGTTCCCACTTAGAGCAAGATTGTTGACGGGCACCGCAAACGAACTGGGGGAGCAAGGATGTTCCAACTTTGCAGAAGGCCAGCGGGCAGACGTCAAAGATTGCCAAGACCATCAAGATGCCTCAATCCAAAAGCAGAAGCCCAAAGAGGAGTGAAGCAGCGAAGCAATGCGAAGCTTTGGACCGAAAGTTTCTTTGGAGCGAAGCCACTACCTGCTGCAGGACTCTTCGAAGGCGTTGGGTGTCGCTGCTGGACTATGTGGTTGCAGACGATGTGGTGGTTTCAGACGACGGCACACCTGGAGAGGTGACAGTTGCATCGAATTGCGTCCAACTTGGGCCTTCTACAAAAGAGCAACGCCGCAAGTTTGAGCAAATTGAGCAACACTTGAGGGAAGTGCAAGTGGAAAATCATTGTTGGGCATTGCAGGCCCAGAGCTCAAAGCCAGCTGTGCATCCAGCTGTGCCAAGTTCAAAGCGCTGGATATCTTTGTGCTCGCACCTGGGCGGGCAAAAGCAGTTCAAGCAAGATGGATGTCATTGGTATGTCATGATTTGTGCGGCCGGGAAGCTTGCTCAGCAGGAAAAAAAGCAAACATGCATAAACATCGTTAAACATTGAGTTTTTGGTAGGCCAGTTGATCGTGCTTGGTTGGCTATGTTCAAAGGCCTCTCAAAATATGTTAGTGGGGGAAGGTTGGCCTAGGAGCCCTTTCAGTGCACCAAAGTCGCAGTTGTGAGTCACGTGAGGAGTGTGGATAGCTCCGTGGTCGTTGAGCCAGTCCGCCCTGGCATTGTTTTTGGCATATTGCAAGTGCTGATAGATGAATGTGCGTTGCATGGTAGGAGCTTGAGCCTACGATGCTTGATGTAGGCACCAGCGAATTCATATCCTGCTCCACGTCGTTACGAATGCATGCCCACGCAATGCTTCATGCATGCAGGTGAAGTGGATTGCAGCCGCGAGGCCACAAAGAGGAAGTGGACAATGGAACCCGTCCCAAGGACTACCCAAGGAAGTCTTGGGGTACAAACTTTGCAAACACCAGATGTCAAGCAGGGTGTACGCTTGAGCGTCCCAGTAGCTGCGACTCGTGCATGGAGACGAACGGGCAAGCAAACAAACAAAGAGGGGGAGAGAGGAGAGAGAGAGAGAGAGAGAGAGATTGATCGAAAGGCCTGCACATTGCTTCCAGAACAGCCTAAATCGAAAGCTCGCTTAGCTTTGTAGGTGACCTTGGATGAGTTGCTGAGTCGACTTCTTCAGGAGTGGCTGAAACATGCAGCTTGAAATGGGACATGTCATCACATGTCCGATTGGCTGTTCAGGTTCAATATAATGGGGAGATGTGGACGAAGGCATTGGAGGTTTTTCATGGTTACCCTTTTGGTGCTTTCCTGGATGATGAGCTGGAAAAGGCTGGGAAAGTTCAGCCTGACTTTCAGTGACATTTATTGATTGTTTTGGCCATGGCGACCATGGAGGGAAACAGTCTTCCAAAAAGCTTTAGGTTGATCAGAACCTGCACTGAGCGATGCATACGGCTGACTGGCTTTTGAGCAGTTATAAGTTATAAGTTATTAGTTTGTCGATCCTCCATAGGTTGTTGTGTGAATATTTGAATGTGCGCCATCAGGATGCATGTACATTTGTTTGCACAAGGTGAACCGCAAGATTCTACAGCGAATGGAAGCATTGGCAATTACGGGCGCTTTACCTCAGGCATCTCGTATTGAAATTGGTGCCAATCTATTATGGATCAATTGTTGTGTATCGAAAGAATAACGAGGCTTCATGGCATGGAATATCAATTACAAAATATATATTTATAAATATATATATATAGGGAATATTTTTATTTTATATTATATCTTTCAATTTACATATTATACATTACATTCATGATTTAAATTTATATAATTTATAAATATATTATTTTATAGATAATATATATTGCTTATTATATTTAGAATTTTAAAATAATAAATATCTAAAAGAAAATGAATTAAATAATACTAATAATAAAATGAATTGATGTTAATTATATTTTTGTATTATTTGGAATGTTTTATTTGATATTATTGTAATTTATTTTTAATATTTTATTTTCGTATTTTTTTTATTTAAATTTTTTATGGGAATTATATTTTTTATTTTTGAATTATTAATATATAATAAGGGCTCCGCCCTGGTGTCGCCGACCTTTTTTTTGGGGGAGGAGTTGGAAGACTAGAAACCGGATAGGGATTGTTATAAGCATTTATCGGCTATGTGCTTAAGATTCTGTATTCTTGATTCTTTTTATCCGGCCTTAGGTTACACTACGGACACGCTAGTGTATATATAGTCTTTGTTAGGAAAGCTAAGATGAGCTGTGTGCTTGAAACCTTGACATATCTTATTGGTGGTGTTTATTGCCGGCGGCGTTGTTGCTGCTGCCGCCGCGGCTTGATGCGGCGCGGCTGTTGCGTGGTGCTGCTGGTTGTGGGCGGCTACTGCTGCTTCGGACAGGTCGCGGCAGGCTTGCCGGGTGCCGAGGAGCATTTGAGGGCGGCGCTCGTGGGTATCGCCTTCGGAAGCCTATAGAAAAAGTTTTTTGGGCCAAGTTGCGACCTGTAGTAACGTTTGCGGGCGGGGCCCGTGGGTGAAAAGAAGAGGTAGGCTTCGGATAGACCATAGATACTCCGCGGCAGGCCTGCCGGCTGCCGAGAAGCGTTTGAGGGCGGGGCCCGTGGGTCTTTAACGTCGCCTTCCGAAGTCCATAGAACAAGCTTTCTTGCTTAAGTTGCGGCCTGTAGGAATGTTTGTGGGCGGGACCGGTGGGCGAAGAGAAGGGGTAGCCTTCGGACAGGCCGCGGCCGGCTGTCGAGGAGCGTTTGAGGGCGGAACCCGTGGGTATTTAATGTCGCCTTCGAAAGCCCATAAAATAAGCTTTCTGGGCCAAGTTGCGACCTGTAGGAACGTTTGCGGACGGGGCCCGTGGGCGAAGAGAAGAGGCAGGCTTCGGCGTGGCTGAAAAAAAGACGTAGGCTTCGGTTAGGCCATAGAGAGTCCGCGGCCGGTTGCGAGGAGCAATTGAGGACGGATCCCGTGGGTCTTTAACGTCGCCTTCGGAAGTCCATAGATTAAGCTTTTTGGGCCAAGCTGCGGCCTGTAGGAACGTTTCCGGGCGGGGCCGGTGGGCGAAGAGAAGGAGTAGGCTTCGGACAGGCCCTAGAGAGGCCGCGGGAGGCCTGCCGGCTGCCGAGGAGCGTTTGAGGGCGGGGCCCGTGGGTGTCTAACGTCGCTTTCGAAAGCCCATAGAATAAGCTTTCTGGGCTAAGCTGCGGCCTGCAGGAACGTTTGCGGGCGGGGCCGGTGGGCGAAAAGAAGGGGCAGGCTTCGGACAGGCCACAGAGAGGCCGCGGCAGGCCTGCCGGCTGCCGAGGAGCGTTTGAGGGCGGGGCCGCATTCCTAAGTGGTCTATGGTGGTATTTTTTGTCCTTCCAGCCAGCGCGCATCCTCATGCGTCTACCGTACTTAGAACGAATAGGGAACCGTACTATCGCTGCTAAGCTGTATGCTCCCACCAGATTTCATGTTGAAGGATTCAGTGCTGGTAGTTACACTGGAGCTACCATTGTCATTGGTCTGTGTGCTTTGTTTCCGGAATGTCCCATATCGGCTACACTTGGTGCCATTGCCATGGGTGGCAACGAAAGCTCAATAAAAAGAACGATCGAAATATGGCGCCGCCCCGCGGGTCCGAGTTCGCGCGCTACTCTTGAACTGAGATGGCGTTTTGCCAAAATTATTGTTATTATAAAAAAATATATACAAATAAATATAAAAATAAATAATCAAATAATCAGAAGATAAATCATTAATTAATACAAAATTAATACGAATAATACCAATTTACGATCATCTACCATAAAAAATCCTATAATGTATGTGTATTATCAAAATTTACATCTTATTCCTTTTTATTATATTATATATCCGTATTCCTTTCTTCTTTTCCTAATCGAATTATATGTTCCTAATCGAACTATATTTTCCTAATCGAATTATTTTTCGTCAAGGAATATATTTTATATAATTTTCAATTTTAATTCAAAATTTCTATAAAATCAAAAATATTTATAGCTTTTTTTGATGTTTAATCAATAGATTAATTTAAATAGAAATCATAGCATTTTTAATATTTCTATTCTTTTCCTAATCGAATTATATTTTCCTAATCGAATTATATATTCCTAATCGAATTATTGTTCGTCAACGATTTTTTTTATAATTTTCAATTTTAATTCAAAATTTCTATAAAACCATAAATATTTATATATTTCTATGATATTTAATTAATAAATTCATTTTATATAAAAGCAATATTTTTTTAATATTTCTATATTTTTCCTAATCGATTTATATTTTCCTTGTCGAATTATATATTCCTAATCGAATTATTTTCGTCAAGGAAAATAATTTTATGATTTTCAAATTTAATTCAATATTTTTATAAAATCATTGTATTTTTCAATTTTATATTTTTCCTAGTCGAATTATATTTTCCTAATCGAATTATTTTTCGGGAACGTTTAAAGGCAAAGCTCTAACAATTCTGTGCCACGAAAGGCCGCTTAAAGGCAAAATTGTACTACGAAAAGCCTTCGAAAGGCAATCCTGTGCTACGGGTGCTACGGGTGCTACGAACGGCCTTTTAAAGGCGATTCTATGCTACGAAAGGCCTTTATTTCAGTGTGTTTTGCTTTAGAGCTTCATATTTTTGGTTTTTAGCTTTGGTGCCTTAATGTTTTTAGCTTACGACTTTAGATTTTGGATTTAACCCTTAAATTCATAATACCTTAAATCCTTAAATTCCTCGTTAATCCTAACATTCCTTAAAACAAATCTAGTGCCCCAAAAAAGGCCACTTCGTAACGCACAGTGGCGCTAGCCCTAAAATTTAGGATTTAGAAGCCGATACGAAGTAGCGCCATAAGCAACCCTTTTCCTTTCTTCCAAACAGTCTATTTTATCTTCCCCTTTTTTTCCTTCCCATAATAATATTCGCCCTAAGCTCGCCTTTTTGCTAATAATCTTTTTTAATTACGCAAAATATTTATTTCATTTTCGATTTTCAATTAAAAATAAAGTAAAATCATATAAATTCATCCATTTTTCTAATAATTAATTAAAAATTTCAATTTATTAAATTTATTTAAACCCCATTAAAATATATATAGATTTTTATTTTTTTATTTTATAGTTAATTAAAATTTTAAAATTAAAGATATTTTTTTCTTTTATAGTATAATTTTCTAATCGAATTATATATTCCTAATTAAAATATATTTTCCTAATCGAATTATATTTTCCTAATCGAAATATATTTATTTAATCGATTTTTTTTATTAAGAAATATATATTTATAATTTTTAATTTTAATTCCAAATTTAAATAAAATCATAAAAATAATTCTTTTTTATAATGTTTAGTTAATTAATCAATTTTCCAATAAAATTCATAATAAATATAATATAAAATATTTATAGAATTAATTATATATATATAATTTATATATAAAAATATCTTTATAGTAAAATTAGTAAAATGATATATAAATATAAATATATATATATAAAATATTATATAAAAAATATTGCCAATATTACTTAAAGAATCATTACGACCAATTCGTCTTTCAAATATCGTCCGCATTCATATATTCATCAAAAAACATAAAAATTAATAAAAATTTTGTCAAAAATTATCACTCTACAATTTATAATTTCAAAACCTCTAAAAAATAAAATATTAAAAATTAATAGAAATAACACCAATTTTAATCGAACATCATTAGTATCACAAAAGTCTCAATAAAAATAATATAAACTCTTCAATATCTGCCTAGGCACAAAACATTATATTTAGAAAATATATAGAAATAACGCTATTTATATTCTACTAAAACGAACGGTATTCGACATAATTGCTACCAAAATTTTCTCTCTCTCCTCTCGACATATTTTTCTTCTGTAGAAATAAAGCTTTACAGGAGCCAATGCTTATCATTTTCCTGTATTTTTAATGTTTTTTCAAACAAATACATAAAGCCTAATAATATTCAATACGCCGGTTTGCGGCCGACATTTCTAGCACCACCTAGGCTTATATGGCTTCTTCAAATATCAAGATGTTGTAATGGAAAATATAAAACAAATTTTCTAGCCTAAATATAGACAACTTTAGGCTAGTAAATGCTCAAAAATATTCCAAAATGACTGGCCGTGCCCCTGGACACACTGACTGGCCGTGCCCCTGAACTCTGTGGCCGGGCTCTGTGACCGGGTCTTGTCCTCCTTTTGTCTTCTCTTCCCCTGCTCTTCTCTTGTGTCCGAACAGTTAGCGATGTCAACGCCGACAAAAACCATTGATTAACCAATTTGCTCTTGGGGGGGGAAGGCAGGTATGCCAAGAAATCGTTTGATTAATATTGATCCCAACGAATCGTTTTGAAACTGTTTGGGGTCTATGCTGGTATAAATTGAAATACAATCAAATATTTTTATTCCTTCGCGATTCAAAGGAATTCAAACATTATCTTCGAAGTCGTGGTGTTCACTGGCAGGGCAGGAAAGGAACGCGCGTTTTGTGCCAAATTATTTCTTTGAAATCAATAAAGCAAGGAATATTAGGTCAATTTTGCATTCCGGCAAATATGTAGACGACTACAAATGATGAAGGTTACGGTTACTCGAAAATACATCCGATCGGCCACGATTCCGCGAGCGGCCACGTTCCTCGCCTCCTCGAAGACTCGGTCTAGGGCAGGAGCACACGAAGGCGCGGGCTGAGCGGG